TCCTCTTTACACCACTCTAAATTTTTGCCTCCAGCCTCCCATCTGTTCCACGTACGAAGCATCACCAATTTGGTTTTAGTAACGTAACACTAGGATCGTTCAAACAGGACTTGCGTGCTGCTAGGATGTTACTAGAGCCCCAGTTCCTCCAGAGCTGGGCTGGATGGAGAATCCAAAGGAACATGGTTAAAAATAATGAGCAGACCATCCATTGTTAGGGCTGTAAATCCGTATTTTTCTTTAAACAGTTAGGTTTTGCTCTCATATATCGCTAGGCTGAGAGTACTGGAGCTCATGCTTACTGACAGTGACTTCTAGGATCAAAAAGATTAATTTTTAGTGTTAAAATGTGACACCCTTCCATGATGAATGCAGGATGTGACCCAGGCATCAGGCTGGGCTACGGTGACCAATTCCCGGTTGCACGCTTTCAGACAGCACTAGGAGCTTAATATGAAACAGATTTCTTCTTGCTCTCGCACAGCCTGTGCTGGCTCTATGAAAGTTTGAGAATCAAAAGGTTGTTAGAGAGGACAAGTGACAAAGCATGAGTTGAAGACAAACAGGCAGTAGACGTTCACACCAGCACACGCAGACCATTGCCATTAACTGGCCGTTACGGAGAAGTAAGGCTCTCTCCCCGTCCGGGCTTGCTGCCGTGTCAGTCTGTGGTAACATCTGTGACACGCTCTTTTGAAGTCTCCCCTGTGAACTACGGAAAAAAAAACCAACAAACAGATTCTGACCCAAACCAGACTGAACTGCATCACTGTGGGGTTTTTTTGGTTGGTTGTTTTTGGTTGTCCCGCCCCAGTCAAACTAAACCTGAACCAGTTTTGAAGCTTTTGTTCAATGTGAACTGGAACAACTTCAGTCAGAGCAGAATAAAAAACCCCACTGGGCTGCAGAAAATGCAGGTCAACGATTGTGCTCCTCCAAGACCTCACCAGCTTCCTACCGTCCCAGCCATTGAAAGCTTGGATCCACAATGGAAAAGCGGGAGGTTTATGGCATTTTCCTGACTACAGCTACACCTTTAAGATGAAAAGGACTATTTCTATCCTTTGCAAACTTCTGACTTAAGGAAAAGGTATCAGCTACGACTCTTGTGTACCACCCAGCACTGAAGGGCTGTTCTCCTGGCAGCACCACTGAACCAGCTGCACAGGCTGAACAGGGTACTGCTGTTCTCAAAGAGCACCCCGCTCTCAACACTGCAAATCTTTCAGCAGTACTTGACTATTAGGTGGTGTTTTTCTGCTACTGCAGGGCACCCTACCGGCTCAAGTCACTAATTTTAAAGAAGCTACGATGAACTTGTTTGAGACCATGTCTCCGCATGTTTTCAGCTAATGTTTACATTAAACACCCGAAGAAAGTCCACAACATACAGTGCACGTGTGACAGCAGTAAGCAATTTTCAACCAAAAATTTCTAGCCTACAGATCATCTCAAAGATTTCTCAGAAATAAAGACATGGATGAAATTTGCTCTCTGGAGCCAAGCTTGCATACTAACATGCAGGGAAGTATTGTAACTAACTTGATAAGCTGTCATGCTGCCTTCAGCTAAGGCAGATGGCTCCAAATTATCCCAGGACCACGTGCACTTCTAACCCTCGGCTACCAGCAGATCAACAACAGGACCAAGAGTTGCAATATTCCCAGCAGCTGCTAGGAAAACAGGAACAAAACTGAGTTCACTCCATCACATGAAGTTAAGTCCTCTACTAGTTCCTGAAACTATAGATGACTGGATAATATACTAGTTCCCAATTCAAGAAAATCCAATTTAAGCACATTATATATCATCTATCACTTATCTACAGATGGAAAACCTCATCTTTACTCCACATAATTTGAATATTTACCCACAAAACCGGAATAGGAAAAGGCAAAGGTGACACACTCACAGAAGAGCACATAACTGATAAACGTGGAAGATAGAGGACCAGTGAAGAGACAATTCTCTTGTGCCAGTGCCAAAGGAAGCTTCTGGTAACACACACGAGGCTGTCCTGTTCTGAAAGCGTTCCAGGGCAGCAGAAACATACAATACTATTCAACAAATTAATCATACATTTTAACAAGATTGTTCTTATCTCAGTAGAAAGAGCACTGCATCTACTTAACATGTGCTTTGATGTGGTTTCTCTCCAGATGATTTATCATCTTTAAATTAGCAAAAGTCTTTGCAATGTAAGATCTGAATTGTCAGGCACAATGTTTGCAAAACTCCATCGCAGCACTCGGAAGTTATAAACTGATTGCTGTGCGATAAAGTCCATGCTACAATAGCACTGAATTATACAAAGCCCGACCCTCAGACTACACCTGGACTAAAGGGGGCCTCTCGTAATAATAATGTCCTCACTTTCGTGAGGACACAGCCCTTCCACAGATTTTATTGTAAAACAGAGTTTACACCTGTCATGGAAAAAGGCACCCTCTCTGCAGGCTTTGGGCAAATAACTGGATCTGCTGGTATGTCTACATTTCAAACACTTACTTGTGTCAGTGTGGGGCGTGTCAAGTGTTAATATACACTGGTTGCACATTACTGCTTAGCCAGCTTATCTACCCATGAACGTACTACAAACAACAAGCTAAATGATGAAAGCATAATACAAAATACTCTGGTTTGTTGGTTTATCATCAAAGCTTCCATTAAAAAGAATTATTACAGGGCTTTACACTCTGTACAGCCAGTGTAGTGCAAGAAACCAGAAATACATGCACTACCCAACCATGGGGCTGAAGAGAAGGCAGACAAGAACAAAACTGCAGGATCTTGCGCTAAAATAGCTCCATATAGGCATTTACTTCAAGGCAACACTGTCACCAAAAATAGGCTATTTTTAAAATTTATTTTTGCTTTTTTTTTTTAATTGTCTAGCCAGGAAAAGTTCTACAAACTGTGTGGTGAAATATCCAGGAGACACTGAGCATATGTGGACCCAAGTATTGTGTTTTGAAAGAGCTTTCAAAGCAAGAATCTGTAGGAGAACGTGGTTTGTAGTTAAGTAGAAAACTACCCTTATATTTTCTAAGCATTCTGTTGCCCATCAGATACTAGAGAACAAGGTAAGTGCTGCAGGTAAATACACAGCATCTCCCAAACAGCATATTAATGCTATACAACGTTAAGTTTTACATTAAGCTGGTCAGGGAAGTTTTGGAAAGACAAAAAAGTACAGCCTTGGTTTTTGATGGAAGTGGTTGAACTGCCCAGGATCAGGGTCTGAACAGTCGCAGCCAAACTGATGCACCAGAGTCACCTGATTTGTACAGTACTGGAATAGTCAAAGTACGTAACCCATTGCCGGTTTACATACTTTAACTGGAGATATTGCATTAAGTAGCTATTGGGTTTTCCCCGCAGTGATCTTTGTAGTTTTAAAAAAATAAAATCAAATCACACTTAAAACCCCCCAGAAACACAAGGTGAAGCACATGCTCCAACCAGACTTACCTAGAATGTAATGTGAACAAAGCAACTGTTAAATGCCTACAAGTGTTACGAATTCTTCCACTTTAATTGAGTTATAAACAATTTGAGAAATAAACTGTTTCCTAACCCACAACATATGAGAATAAATGTTAAAATATGCTTCCAAGTAGATGACAATGCTTCATCATCAGAAAGCTACTGGCTTTTAAGTATATAAAAAGCTATTCCAAATAACATTATGACTGAAAGACAATCAAGGCAAAAAACAATAGAACTTTGAGTCATTCTCCAAACTTGTTTTCTTGCTATTTGTCAAGTTCATTATTTAAACACAAGATTGTTTTCTTAATTTAATATACATACTTATACAATGGCTTAAATTAAGGCATAATCCAGCTGGCTGAAGTTTTCAGTAAAATGTCTCTGTTGCTTTTCATTAGTAATAATTGGTTCAGATCACTGCTGGCAAAAGTAGCATAGTCCGTTAAAGAGATGATTGAAAAACAGATCTCTTTAGTAGTACTATCTTCCATTAAGGTGGTTTGTAAATTAAATGTAGCACAGGCCTTTGGACTCAGGAAGCCTTTCAAGAAACTCACCATTAAATCAACTTAGCAGTCAGGGTGTGAGGCTTTAAGCAGAAGCTGGTAAAACTCTGAAGCTGTAGTGTGGTTTTACAAAAAGCCTTTTACATTCTAGAGAAAGAATAATATCCACCCAATGTGAAACAGAGAAAAAACCAGAAGTTATCATCCAAAAAAAGCAGAGGGCAAGCTTTTTAAAGACCTAGCCAAAAAGACAATGGCTGAAATTTAACAGACAGACATTAAAAGAGAGCCCTTCAGAATCCAACTCAACATGCCAACTGGAGACTCTTAATTTAAAAGCATTGTCTCGGATCACATTGTCACTGTGATGACACTTTTGTAAATGACATTTTGGGCTCTCAGTACTCGGAAAAGTATTTCTTCCATGCAATTTGGAATCATATTCTAGGATCCTAGAATACTTCCATTTTCTATTTCAGTTTTAGTGTTTGAGGCTTTCTGGGATCGCAACTGAAGCGTAGAACAGACACCTTTGATAAAGCCAAATGTTCTTAGATGGAATAATATGCAAATCACATCATCCCTCTATGTGTACTAAAGTTGATGCATAAAAAAACCTCAATCACCTTATACAGGAAAATGCACAATTTCAGGAATATAAAGTGAGACCAGCTGCACCCCAGAAAGTTTTAAATTATCAAATTTAGTCCTTCACAATGTCATGTAGCAAGAGGTACGAAATAATAGGCTAGATCACAGCCTCATTCCAGAACCTGACAGGCCATGCTTTGGCTACTCTTGGGACAGAGAGAAAACATGACTGAGGCAGTTGATTAGTTACTGAGCAGCAAGTAGCTTTGTATTGTAACTGACTATAGCACCATATGTGCTCCCTTGGGAATGAAAACACCAGATTATTTTCTTCAGAATTAGAAATCACAATTGTATTCCTTAAACAAATAACAAGCAGAAGCTCAAAAACCCAAACATATCGACTTTTACTGCTTTACTTCAACATTTTCCCAGTGACAATACTGCCTATTACGGTTAGTATAGTGCTACCACCTATTTTCTTACTGATTTGGCCTGTATTTTATTTCTAAAACATTAAACATTCTTAATATGCTTTTGCTTCCAGACAGTGTTCTGTGACAAACACTGTTTATTTTCAGAGACAGCCCCTAGAATTCATACAAGTGCTTAGAAAGCTTCCTGCAGCTCCATTCATGCTGCCTCTTAAGCTAGACTAGTAGCCAACCCAGGTACCTGGAAGTAAAAACAAAAGACAAAAAAAGTTAAGAGATGCATTTAATGCACCACGGTAGTATAAATCCTTTCAGAGGCTGGTAATTTAACCATTCTCTGCATTTCCTGAATGTCAGTTTATACTAAAGCATTCCCTTGTATCAATGGCTTTGACAAGTAGGGAAAAGTAAAAGATGACAATAGGGAAAGTGCTAAAAACCTATCTTGTTTCTTTCAACGAAGCATTGTAGCAGACTTGTTCAATGCTTTTCCTCCATGTTAATCTACGCTATGCTAAAGCAGCAAAATAGCCACACAAGCACAGAGTACTGTGTAAATAAAAACTCTTAATACTACCCTGGTATAATGAAAATGGTCAAAGGCATTCACTAATAAAATGATCATTGAAATCCATACATCAGAACCCTTGTAGAGCACCATATTTCAGAAAGATGTTTGAAGTGTATAGCTGTACTGAAGCTGGAGGCAGAACATTCGTCGTTGGATTTGATGATCAGACTCCCAGTGAGGTTCCTCAATGAATGCAAACACTACTAAACCAGTCCTAAATACATACTGGTTTTATATGGATATGTTTGTGAAGGAAAATAAGGAGTTCTTATCACATTGTTTATTCCAGCTGTTTTTGCTCTGCATTTAGGCATTTGCTTTCAAGGTCACCCTTATTCTGAGCAGCTGGTTCTTCACTCTGTGCAATAGAAATTTCTGACTGGTCCGTCTTTGCGTTGGTATCAGCCAGCTCCTCTGCAGCTGAGATGGGGCCATGCAGATTCTTCACGTGGAGGGTAGGATTGGTCATTTGCTCTGTGTCTTGTTGAGAGGCTGGTACCTTGCTATCTTTGGGAAGCTCAGGGCAGTTGACAGGAGCTATCACCAAGGGAGGCTGAGGTAGGTCTTTCTGTAAATGAAAGATCACAGTCAGAATGATGGAAAGCAAGAATTACTGTGTCCAGTTATCAGGAATGATGGTCATACAAAAAGAAGATTAGAGGTCCATCATCTCTGTTATCATTCTCCAGTAGTGGACACATGCATACAGTTATCCTGTCTTCGTGTTTTATAGTACACAAGGAGATTTTTCTTTCAGAAATGTGTTTAATTGTTTTCTGTCTGATCGTTCCTCACCGATTTCAGATGCGCTCCGCTGATTACGTGGGAGCAGACAAACAGCACTTTGGCACTTCGTCACTCTCTTGTTTTTCCCCACCTTTACTATCAATGTACAACAATTGGTAACTTTTTCATTAAATTTCAGATTACCTCAAATATTTTTCCAACAATTCAGTTGTCTAGAGGAAAGTTGTGAAGGTTATCACAAATAGTTGAATAAAACTCACTGGGGAAACCTTTATCTTGATAGCTTTGCCCTTCAAGTAATTATTCAAAGTCCATAATCATGCATCATGATAAAAATTATTCCTTTTGGAATCAAATTAATTTCACAGGTACCACAGTGAAACAAGTAATAATTTACTATATTGAACTAGATTTCTACCTTCATAAGCAGTAGGCTATGAAAAAATATGAAGAAAAATATTTTAAGGATATATTTTATATAATGTTATAAAACTACTACTACTACTAATAATAATTTCAGAGATCAAACCAGTAAAATTATGGCAGAATCAAGGATAAACAAGGTCTACTTTACTGTACACTAGCCACTTTAAGTAGCCAGAAACATTAAAAAAGAAAACCTTACTGAGGCAAAAAATGTAAAAAAGCAAACAATCAAGCAAAACAAAAATCTTTGGTTTTGTTTGATAATACTGCAATATTTTACTCAACTTTAATTCTAGTTAGGTTTTTATAATATTAGTATTTCTTGAAGACACTCATATCAAACTGGTATTCACCGCAAAGCCGCTGCCCGTCCAGAACATTGCAAGCTCCTTTCTCCAAAGAGCCACAACGAAGCTTGTGAGAAGAGTACAGGGCACCAAGTAGAGGAGAGCGGGCTGGCCCATCTGCATCAATGCCAAGGCAACAAAGGTCACAAGAAGGCCTATGCCATAGGCTGGAAGGAAACAAAACCAGCAAAACCCAGTTATTCACATATAGCTCTGCTGAAGAACAACTAAGTAATTAGCTAGAGGAGCATTCTAACAGGAACTTTTTTCAAGTAATACATAAAACAACATCTCCAGAGTTTTTTCAGGCCTCTTTAGACACAAGCATTATATACACAATGTAAATTTGGAATAGTGTTTTACTTAACAGAGATACTACAGTTTTCCTATTAATAACAACATGTTGTGAAAGTAGTGTGATTAGCCTAGTCCATACTGTGCAATAAAATCATTACCTTAAGCAGTCTGAAAAAGGCAAAATAAACAAATTAAGTATTGCACCTCATATTGTATTTATGAATTCAACAGATACAATTATTTTGACCGCTACAACAAGTGCTTCTTGTTTGGCTCAGCTTTGGCTGTTTCTTACTATCCTGCAACACCACTAAAAAAAAAAAAAAAAAAAAAAAGCCCGCTGTATGTTATAATTTGTTATTACTTTCTATTTAATTTCTGCATATATTCTGCAAAAATTATTAAGTAGAACAGAAGCAGCTAGCATCTCATATTGTAATTATTTTCAATTACATTTTCAGAACAATGAAGCTAAATCCAACTGATTTTTATTCAGGAACCAGATGAAGACAGACATATAGGTCTTGGAATGCATCAAAGAAGAGCAAGGAAGCTGGTGAAAGGTCTGGAGCACAAGTCCTGTGAGGAGCGGCTGAGGGACCTGGGGTTGTTTAGTCTGGAGAAAGAGGCTGAGGGGAGACCTGATGGCTCTCTACAACTCCCTGAAAGGAGGGTGCAGCCAGGTGGGGGTCAGTCTCTTCTCCCTAGTAACAAGCGATAGGACAAGAAGAAACGGCCTCAAGTTGCACCAGGGGAGGTTTAGACTGGAGATAAGGAAAAATGTCTTCCCCCAAAGGGTTGTCAGTCCCTGGAACAGGCTGCCCAGGGAAGTGGCTGACTCACCAGCCCTGGGGGGATTTAACAGACATGTCGATGTGGCGCTTGGGGACATGGGTTAGGGGTGGGCTTGGCAGTGTGAGGTTAACTGTTGGACTCCATCTTAAGGGTCTTTTCCAACCCAAATGATTCTATGATTAGCATAATCAATAATGTTTTATAGTTCTTCAAAATTATTTTTTTTTCAGAGCACATTATGTTATTAGTGAGAGTTCCTTATATCTAGTTGAAATATCTTTTCTTGTGACTTAAAGTCCATTGCCTCACATCTTATCCCTGCGCACCTATAAGAAAAGGCTGTCTCTGTCTTCTCTGCATCCTCACATTAGGTAGCTGAGGTAGAATCTCTTCTTTGCCATCTCTACTTTTAAAATCACGTGCTCCAGCCCGCAGCCATCTTGATGGCCTCCACTGGATTTACTCCAGTATGTCAATGTCTGTCTTGTTCCAGGGATCCTGGTGCTGGTTAAGACTCAGTCTTAACTGCCAGACTGAGAGGAATAATTACTTGTCTCATGCTGCTGACTCAATCTTGCTAACACAGCCATGTATGTGGTTAGTTTTCATTGCTGCAATACTACACTGCTGACTCTTCATTGATACAACATGTTCCTATTAGTTTCTGTAAACATATTTTGAAAGTACCAGGTATGACAACAGTTTCATTTAAGTATATACAAGAGGAAATTATTTAAGATTTGGTAAATGGAAATATAAACATCTCTAATCCTGCTGTAAGTCTCCAAGAGCCTAGATATTTTTTCAAAATAATTTCTAGAGCAATTTTTAAATGAATTTTTTTCATTACATTAACTGCAAACATCTAAGGTCTTGGCTAGCATAGATACTTTGTAACAAAGCCAAGAGAAATCTGTGAGATCCTATTCATCAGTCGTCTTTAAGTCCATGGCATGTAATGCTGTGGATTCTACAAACCAAAGAAGAAAACTAATTTAGAGGTGTTATAGCCATCATAACACAATTTGTTGCACGGATTTTTAGAATACACAAAAAGTTAAGAAAAAGGTCAAAGGAAGATATCCCTAAACCTGAATTCTCATATGCAATAAACTCCAAGATTCATGAATCAAGTAACCAGAATGAGTAGCTAAGCATGGATAAAGATAGTGTAGATGTAAGGGTTGTAGTGAGACAAACCACGGTAACAAGAAGCTCCCCTTATATATAGGCTAAACAGCTCAGGAAAATGACATCAGATAACTTGGTGATGGAAGGTCTAGCCTCAAAAGCACTCTGCTAAAATACTTCTGTTTAATAATAAAAGGAGAAGAATAAAAAACCAAACTATGTCAGATGAGATTGATGGCATGCTTTTAAAGGCAGTAACTCCTACAGGTATTGTGTTCAAGAGTCACTGTTATACGTACCTATTGTGCAGGCTACAAAATAGACTCTGGACGACTGCACCTGAATATCAAATCTATGGCAATAGGCTACCAGTAAGCCTAGGAAAGGAAAGAACAATTACAATAGGCTTTCAATCCAGTCACACATTAAGATATACAAAACCATCACATTTTCTAGGAACTGTTAAGATTTTTTTTTTTTCCCCCTTCAACACTTACTGGGGCACCCTGGTGTTCAAGTACTGTGACAGCATCATTCAGTTTTATGATAATACAAGCCCAGTACAACAGAAGCACTCTAGTAATAAAATTAACATAAAATACCCAGATCCTAGATACAAAACATCATCCCTACCCTAACAAACAGTTGTCAAAATACAGCGTTCACAACAAGAATACGGGTAAGTTCATCCCTTCCAGCTCCTACTAAAGACAGTAGTAATTTATGGTTAATAACTATGCCTGTTATAGGTTGAGGGGAAGAGAGGATCCTGACAGGGATGACAGTTCATATTTCCCTCCATACCAGAAAATAAGCAAATGGTTTCTCAGATTAATTCTGAAAGCCAGAAGATGCATACTTGTTTTCACCTGCAGCGGTGCCAGACATACTTCTACATACTACCTAAAGTCAAATCTGAGAGAAGGTCTGGTAGAAACACTGGATGTTGTGTGACTAACAAAATTATGAAGTTTTGAGTGGTCACTTATGTGTGTACTCAAATCATGTGCAAATGGACAAATAATTTCCTTTCTCACCACACTACTAAAGATGTCTTATACTATAAAATTCGTTGCTAAATCAGCTCTTGAGATTTGCCTACATT